AAGTGCAGCCTTTCTTATTCAAGACACCGATGTCCTTCAACAAGCCATAGAGGACGTGCAAAATATTGTTTCTTCTCTAGCAAGGTCCTGRCCGTCATTAAATGGTCTCCCTTTCAGATCTAGCCCAGCGAAGAAAAAGCTGAAAGAGAGTAAAGTCGAGTTCCATCAAGTCTTCCACAAGAAGCTTCCTGGACGAAAGAAGTGGAAGAAAAGAAAAGCGGAAGCTTCCTCCAGTCACCGAACAACACAAAGAAGCAAAATTAGATGAACAGGTAAAGACATGTACTACATCATTCAAAGAAGGCTGTTGTATTTTTGGGGTGATGTAAATGGCCTTTTGTGATTTCAGAGTGATTCCGATGATATCGTCGAAATAGAAAGCGAGGGCGAAATAACTGTCGGTCCATCAGCTGCGAACAAAGCCAAAGAACTTAGAGTCACAGAGATGGCCAGTGATCAGAGCACATAGTAAGACTGATTTTTGTAATTTTCATTGGCCAGTTTTTTTAGAGTGTATGTATCAATGTGTATTAATTTATTATATTTGTTTTTAATAGTGTGACTCCCTCACAAACAGAAGACAGACCTGTGAGCCCCACTGCTAGACTTATCAATGCTTGGAGGTACGGACTCAAACACACCGACACTATGCTATCTGTTGGTAGCGTTAAGCTGACAGTAGGAGATATGTGCTCAATTTTCCATCCCTCTCAAGCAAGTTTAATAACAGATAAAGCAAAGAGCTTTATCCCAGGCTGGCTGACCGATACGGTACTGTTTATTGCAGCTCAGTGAGTCACCTTTATTTCATTAACTAGTTGTTCTTAGTATCACCAAATATTCTTTTTGACAGGTAATCGAGTCAACCTTGTGGAAYCTCCGTCTTGAGCATGATGACATTTTTGCCGCTGATGCAACAATGTGCAAAGTCGTTCAAGCAGGTGCTAGCACCCGACGACTATGGTCTGGGGAAGATTTCCGCACAGTCAACAAGATATTTATCCCTATGAATATTAATAACCAACATTGGACACTTTTGGTWAGATGATTTTTGTGCATTATGCACATTAAGTTAATTCTACTTACTTTATGAAAATGACTTGCAGGTTCTCAGCAGACTTGAAAAGGTGAGGTACTATTTTGATCCATTCCATGGGGAAAAAAGAAGAGAAATTACTTCACAATCCGAACCGCGGCTTAGCCGATTAATCGACAGATTGAGGTAATTTATTGGTGTTATTGATTAGCAATCGACTAATAGACTACCTTTCTTTATTCACATTTCATTTCTCAATCTTTTTAAAGCGCGGTGGCAGATGTAAAGACGGGGTGGGACTCGCAGACCTGGAAGTGCGTGGAGCCAATCCATTTCAATCAAAAGGATTGGTTTAACTGTGGAGTCTTGATATGTATTGTTAGTAGAGTGTGTCTTCTTTTATATTACTTCTTAATAATCGCCTTTCATTGTTATGTTTTTGTTTGTTTTCATTGTCCACACTTTAGTTTGCAAGGTGTCTCTGTAATGGTACAAACCTGAACGGTTTTTTCAATCTAAACACGGAACGCCAAAGAATGCTGTCCTCTCTCTTTGGTTCCTGCTACGATGATATTTCAAAGTACGTGTTCCTAAGCCAGAAAAATATGCCCTTTGCCGTCAGTGAAAAGAGTCTCATACTCCTTTTTTTGGTTTCTATGCAGGCGGGATATCAACGTTTGCAAAGTGTGCAAGACTGACGAAGACGAAGATGACTGGTTGGGATGCGATGTTTGCGGCCAATGGTTTCATGCTGGATGTTTGAATATGAACTACYCGGAAAATATTGCATCTTTTTTTGCCTGCCCATAATTGTATTTTTCATTTATCTATTAATTAATAAGGTAATAGCCCTTTTCACGGTTAAAAACCGGAAACGACCAAAACGAGGTAAGTCATGTCAAGAMCATGACTTTTTATCGACAAAAATTATTTTCGCTACGTTGATAAACGATAAACAAGCTGGGTCTATTTTTGATCGTTTCCCGACTCTGCCTCGCTTTCGTGCAAAAACGGGGGTACCTTGCGCAACTTGTTTTGCGCGAAAAGGGCTTATGAAAAAATATTAATGATTTTCTTATTGCTTTTCACAAATTCCTATACAGTGCGAAAAATATTATAAAAAATGTAATTGATAATTTGGCACAACCTCGTTCCTAGGTCCTTGGAACGATATTACAATTCTATGGCATTAGATAGCTAGTCTAGCTATTCTTTGTAGTATAAAATGGTTGAATGAAATTGAACATTTTGAAATACCACTCCTCTAAGCCAATCAAATTGCACAATTTTATTCAACCATATTATAAACAGCTAAAAATATACTTGAATATAAAAATATACTTTTTATAGCTAAAAACAATCTTGAACTGTTACTAGCGTGAGTATATAATGAAGTCGTGTACATTGTGTCGTCAAACACTGGACTCGCACTCGGAAAATACATGGTAATAACCACTAATCGTTCACAATTTTCGAGTTTTATAAAGATGAAACTGTTTGATTTTATTTTTTACTGAAGTCACCTGAAAAAATCAAATAAAAACGTACGAGAAAGAATAAATAACTAAGTCACTTTATTCTAATCCACTGTCACGGAATTATTGTGTTACTACCTTATCTGTCATGTCAAGACCGGAAGTCATTGTCACTCTAGATTCCAGTCTCTGCTCAAAAATTTTGTGTACCATCTCCGCCCGCGTTATAGTCAGACCCGCCATTTTGGAAGCAAATCGTTTGACGTCACGCCCGCAATGCAGTGTCCCTGCGGCAAGGCCCATGAATATAAATTTAAACTTGGATATAGAAATGCGGATTTTTGGAAATTGTCACTTTAGATCAAGAATTTAATATACCTTAAAATGTTGCCCGAAGCGTTCAATTTTTGCTGTATTTTTATGAGAATAAATTGTCTTTAAAAGGGGATTTTTCCCAACGTTCATTCCTTATGTCACATCCCACGCTCTAGCGCAGAAGCGCTCATGTAAACATATTTTAGTCGTTTTGTAAACAATGTGACAATCAAAAAGATCATAAAAGAAAGACAAGAATGAAGTTATATTCAAATTAAAAAGAACAAGTTCTACTGATAAGAGTGCCAGTGAATAAAACAGCTACAGCCGCGTCTGAGTACTCTCCGTTTCACTCTTAGTCGTCATCATGATTTTCACTTTCTTTCGATTTCTTATCGTAAATCTTATATTACTAAATCGATAAATATTACAAAACTTCATGAAAAATTCATGTCTTTTAATCAACAATTTTTGGCTTTGAATCACTTATAGCGATTTCAACTGGCAACCACTTTCACTGTCATTACAAGATTACTGATTGAAGTCTTTCTCCTGTTAGAAACGAAGAAACTGCTAGCACTAAGACTCACCACTGACCGGAAATACTGTGTTTAACACGAAAACATGCGAAAAAGAAAATAATAATACCCTTGGACGTCTGCAAATCGATACGAACTAACAAAAGAATTGCTTTTAATTTATAAACAACAATTCAAAAAGATGAATACACATTCTAGAGGGTTATTATACAGTATACGGTTGCCGCAACGTTCAAAATGGTTTGTGGTCATAATTTTGAGCTACTGTACATGTACACAACAATGTTTTCCACCTAGAACCTTCCAAAACTGTTTGTTTTTACAAAACAATTTGCTCTTCTAAGTGACTAAGTTTCTGGTAATCAAGAACATAATGTGATATGCATTTAGACTACACGCGAAACCGGCTGTAAAGTAGTAACTTAGCGGCAGCCTCCATTAGTGGATATGAACTTGCCGAGCCAATAGAAGTGAACTGCCGTCGAAACTAGATAAAAAATGAGCTTCACTGACTCTTTTGAGTAAACAGAGATGAGTGTAGGACGTCTAAATAGAATACTAAATATTTGCCTCCACTGCCAGATTGTTGTCTTTGAGTTTGTGCGCCATATAATTTGAAAAGGGTATGGTTGACTAGTAGAGCCAAAGATGGTACTATTTAGTTGTCATAGTAAATCGTGCATGCGGTACGCAAATGAAATTGATCTGATACAAATGAAGCATTCAATACCGTCTTACTTCAGGTCCACTTTTAGTACAAATTAGTACTATACTTAGATTTTGTACAGTTTCACGGTTTAGGTGCGATCACTCTAAAACAACCGTGAAATATAGATAGTAGTATGCTCTAATTGCATTGTCTTTTGATCTTATTCTACTACCACGCTTTAGACTGTTTTTAAAGGAAAATTCTGTTTCATGGGGTTCAATGAATTCACTCTGTGTGGTTTTCATTAACGCGTGAAATAACAACTCTATATCTTTAATGTTTTGGTTTGCCTTTTCAGTGTTTCATAAAAACAGTTCACGGATTGATGAAAACCACTCCAAGTACATCGGCTCTAATGCTCCTGATTTAGTACTTACAAAATGAAGTACTTACATTACACAAAGTAGCGCAAATCAAATATATATTTCAAAAAAGGTTGTCGGTTAAAATGGCGAATGTCAATTGTCGAATGGCGATTGCACGACCGCCACAGAAGCCATGGGTTTTCTGATTTTTACTCTGTGGTAAACATTGGCGTCATTTAGCCTCCATTTCTATGCAATGTTGATCCCACAAATGAAATTTTGTTTATCAAAACAGGGTAACCATAGTCACTTGCGGCCGCGCAATCTCCCTTCTCTCAGTACTCCGACGAAGGATTAATGTCCGAAACGTCAATAAGTTATTTCACATACTTTTTTATGGTGTTAAATTTATCTTTTTTATACAACTGTCCCTTCGACAAACACCGTTCTCCCCGACGTTATACGAGAAATAGTCGAATATGCGCATGACTCCGGGCTAATTTCGAAGAAAAATGTGCGCTTCGCACTGTATTTTGTTATATAATCGCTATTCCTAAAAGCCGGCTGCACGCAGATTGTTGCAGCCCTCTTCTTCTTCTCCCATGAAGATGGGACAGTACATAGACAAGAAAAAATTGAATGTCTTTAATTCATCATAGATTGCATCAATGTAAATCTAAATATTATTAAAATCCATTGAAATACTCGAAACACCAGTCTCAAAACTAGTTTTCAGCGAGAAAAAGAGTTGACATCAAATAAAATCATGGGAATCCGTTTTTGATGGAAAATTCGCATGGAGTAGACTAAGATTCCGGACTTTAGCGACTGGAGTTGTCGTTCTAAATGTCAAAAATCTTGGTGTTAAATTGAAATAGAAGAGAATTGACTTCTGGGTATTCTATACAGCAAGAATCTCAAACGAGATTAGTGTTAAGCAACATTGCCTTGGATTCACTTCCCAAGGACGATCCCAAACGGTTAACTAAATTCAATTTTGTGTGCTGAAAAACAAGAAAGAAAGACATTATCAGCCTAAAATACATCTTTAAAGGCCCGTTTACACTTGCGATTTTGCAGCGCAATTGTCGCGCGATATCGCCACTTTCCTATCGCGCAACTGAAATCGTACGTGTAAACAGCCCTGCGACGATGGTGAATCGCCGCGAAGTTGCAGCCGATTTTCAAGCATGTTCGAAACTCAGGATATGGTCTCGCGACATCTGCAAAATTGCAAGTGTAAACGTGCCTTAAGATCGTAATCCAACGATTGCGCATGCGCTTCTATGATTTTCCAACATATCCCACATGGTTGAATGCCCTATCACTGTTAGTACTCACATTGTTTAGGGAGCTTGACAGGTTCTTCGTCTCCTACTGTCACTTCATGCAGAACATCTCGAAACTCATATCGTATTCTTAAAAGTTTCTCTTCTCCAGAACACGGGTCGTAAAATCCACTCAAATTATACTAAAACAAGAGCATAGTTATTGCTTTACAAAACTCGTACCTTTGCAGTAAAACACAGGAAGCCCAACAAGTATTTGTTTATCTTACACAGGAAGCCCAACAAAACCTGAGGAAGAGCCTAACCTTATGTTTATCAGTAAGAAATAACCGCGAATCTTTGACTTGACACTGTACTGGGACAGTAACGTCTATGACTTCTGGGTGACCTGAGTTGCTACTGTGGTCTGATGTATTCATAGATACAAGATTCCCATACCACGCTGATATTATTATTAGTCCTACAAAATGAAGAAAGTTAAATAATGAATGGGTAAATAATAAACAAAATGGTAGAAACTATAGTGGTAAACTAGTGTGAGCTGCGTCAGTGTTTCTAAAGAAACAGTTTGTGTAAAAAGATAAATTTAACACCGTAAAAAAGTAGGTGAAACAACTTACTGGGGATGTAGGATAATTTCACCTACTTTTTTAAGGTGTTAAATTTATCTAAATAATAAACAAGTAAGGACATCAAAGGTGATATTCTACCATGTCTTGATCGCTCAAATTCCACAATTCTTTCATAAGTTGATTTCATAAGTTCAACCTGCAAATTAGACCACATTACTATCACTATCTTATCTTGTAAGCTGGAAACAGTGATGACCGCAATGAATGTCACTAGAAATACATTATTTTCAATTACAACATATTCCTGAAAGTATAAAGTTTAAACCTACACAATCCTGAGCTTCCCGTTTCTTCTCAGCCATTTCCCGTTCACTTTTCTCTCTATTCAATTCAGCTTCTTTTTCTTTTTCTTGTTTCAAGAATGGACTAACAACAAGGACTTTGACAGCCCAGTAGAGTATAAGAGGTACAACGGTTCCATATAGCATGGCTGACGGACTTATCTCTTCTGATAGCGATATTCGAAAACTGTACACTTGTGTCGATCTTATGAGTCTAATAGTGAAAAGCAAGAAATTCATCTATTATTTCATTCTTCCATTCATTTACTCATCCATTCATTTTTCAACTTGCAATCCATGCTATGATTATATATATATCTTAATGGTAGGAACTAGTGGTAAACTAGTGTGAGCTGCGTCGGTGTTTCTAAAGAAACAGTTGTGTAAACCACTGTAAAAAAGTATATCTTACTTTATTTTGAGTAAGACGCCAAGTGGTACCCCTATATTCACAGACGCACCAAGATGGCTATGCTTTGATATTTTCCTTTCAGCACCATACTCAAATATTGTACCAAAAACCCCTGTCCTGTAGATCAGATACTAAAATTAACTACTGCTATTTGAAAACTATAATAATTATTGTGCGTGTGCCAAAGGTCCTCATTTATGCGAGAGTATTTGACACTCCAAGCGGATTGATTGTCTCTGAATAAAATATATGGAGATTGGGTATGTGACTCCTCAACAGCAGAAAGACTACATCTTACACAACCACCATACTCGTTGAAGTGTTGGGCAGAACTGGCTTAATCACATGTAACACAAGCTTAAACAAACAGCGACGAACCGATTTCTGGAACACACAAATTGATTGACAGGAATATATTTTACAAGACATTGGCGAAAGACAAACATTTTTAAAATGATGAACTAAAAGCATCATGTGAAGTTTACAGAAGAATACACCATGTACAACTTCACTTGGCCACATTATCATAAATTATCTATTAATGATCTAATATATCAAATAATTTCAAGCTTGAGAGATGTCTTACTTAATGGCACCCTTGAGTCTTGTATCTTCAAATTTCAATGTATATGATGCCATTGCAAAGGTATTAGGGATGCCAAGCTGGAATATCAACATTGCTCTACTGGATTCTGTTTCCCGTATCACAGATGAATTCATGCAGGAATTTGTACCAGCTCGCCATGTCAAGTAGCCATTAGTATGCTTTCCTAACTGTCTTGAAACCACTAAATATAGTATAATCAATAAAAATAATAATAAATAAATCCGCAACAACAGAACATGAAAAATAGTCAGATCTGAACAATCATTTTGCACTTATGCAGAGAGACCAAAGATGAGTGACTATTTTTGAACAATACAGTTATTGAAATTGGTCTTTCATTTAGTGTAGAAAAAAAGCATAAATTACTTGGGATTCCTGTGAAATAAATACCACATGAAGCCCAATATCTTACTTGTTTGTATTCCAAATTGTAAGAGGTTTCCTCTAAGTTGTAAATGTAATTCTGACGTACCATAGCTGAAAAATTTATAATACAGAGAAAATTATAAATGGACGCTATAATGAAGGAATGATCAAAATAATTATTTTTTCACCTTCTTTTTGTTAGATTTCGAAATCCTCTTAGAGCTAGGGAAGGTCCATTTCCTGCACCAAATTCAACCTGAATAAAGCACAAGTTACTCTACAATTGATGGGAATAAAGTGTTCTCTCATGATACAGTTGTACACCTACCTCACCCCATGCTTTATATGATAATACTCTTCTTATCGATGCTGATATATCGCCACTGCCGTTACCATTCTTAATAGATAATGAACCTGACATTGTTGCTGTGTCTTTCTTTGTTAAAGGAGCCTAAAAACATTGTATAATAATATAAGAACTTAGAAGGAAATATAAAATGTCTAAAATAAACTGAAATTTACTAGCATTTATTGCTGGGGGGTGGGTGGGGGGGGGGAGTGGGAGAGGGGGGGAATTGGGAGAAAGCCAGTCTCCTTTCCTCAACACAGGAAGCCCAATATCTTAAAAGAAATAAAGGAGATGACTGTGGAGGAGACTATAGCGTTTACTGACCTCAATTGATTGCATGATTGACATATTGTTTATTTCTATATTAGGGAATGTTCTGAAAGATCAACAGAATTTAATACATAAATATTCATACTAACAACTTGTATCAGAGAATGCTAAATCTCTACTGCATGAATATCTGTCTGTCTTCTGTTAAGAGTCAGTCTGTCTTTTTGTTTGTTTGTTTGTCTGTGTTTTGTCTGTCCATTAGCTTGTCTTTCTGTCATAAATCATGCAAGCACAATTATTCTACTTTTCTTACCTTTCTTCAAAGACATCAAAATTATCAAAGAGGTCCGTAGCATCAACACCAATTGAGATGCTTCCCTACAACAACAACAACAACAATACTTTATTTACATTTGATTAAATTAAATACAAGAAGTATTGCTACCCGCAATTAGTTTAAACTATTCTAAGCGGGTGCAATAGAAAAAAAAGGTATGTAATAATGGGTTAAAATTTAATTTACAAAAAATAAAGAATATATGATGTATTTACAAATATTATGAGAAAGAAAGAGAACCAAAAAACAAAAAAAAAACATCCTCAAAAACAATGATAATTGCAGCCTTACCATGAAAATTGTAAAATTAAGGACTCACAAAAATAAAGACCGATAAGGTATTCAGAAGACAAGGAATAACATTTGTCACCTTTGGATTTGTTCTTTGCTGTAGTCTTCTTTCTTCTCTCTCTCTTTGAAGTTGTTCATATTCAGCTTGAATCTGAAAAATGGCATTTTATAGTAACTTGTAGAATTTAGAGCTATTGTTACTGAGAGTTTAGACAATGGAAATGACGCACACAGCAGTCATTGCCTGAGAATTGTTCACAATAGAGAAAGCGATTCCTGTGGTATCAACATAATTGCAGAATGTTTTTCTTTACCTCAGCTGGTGTACGTTTTCTTTCAACAACCTAAAATATAATAACAGGGTAAATAATTCTTGTCCATCAGATAAAGCCAATACATATAAACAATTAGATATTGAACACAATGATATCTTATGCATGCTAGGGAATTGATTGACAGGCTACCTCCCAGCCAGCGTCCAGTCCTTTCTGACCATAAATATCATAGATTGCTTTGGTTTCTGGATTACTCAAAACTAATAAGACAAAACAATAACAAAAAGAGAATATATTTTTATATCACACATTTACAAAATCCATACATATTTTACAAACAGAAGAAAACCAATTCATTTTCAACGGTCACGGTAAACACAGAACTATATTACATCATCGTTTACATACCATCATAAGCCCTCTGCACTTTACTAAACAGCTGAACAGCAGCCTAAAAGAAAAAGACACTACATGAAGCTACTTGAAGCCACATAAATTTGAAGACCTACGTACGGTTTTCTTTGCAGGTTCTTGGTGTTTGTCGGGATGGTAGATCACGCACATGCGGCGATATGCAGATCGTAATTCCTCTTCTGTGGCCTAATTATATAGAAAATTATAAATATAAGAAAATGCACATGAAGTTTATCTAATAATATACCACAACTTAGAATTCTCGCCTGTTTTCTGACGTTTAAGACACCATAATAGTCTATCTCATCGTCTTCTTGAATGTCGTCCGAGTCCGCCATTTTTGAAACTCACAGGTGTAACCGCTGACTGGTAATACAGCGGGAACAAATCGAAATCAGCTGAAAACACAAGTTGCCCAATCTCTTTTCAGGCAAAAAAAGCCAAATGGAAAAGTATTTATTTTGAGGAATATCGATCTGTATTTTCTTTTATTCAATTCCGTCCGTATATTTATGTGCTCCTGCAAAAGAAAATAGTACAGTGGCTTCTCAATAACAATTTATGCATTCTAGATCATATATTTATTTTTCGTATGTTTCACAGTTTGAATTTCTTTTTTGATTTTTTTTGTTTTCATTATTTTATTTAACATGATTTATCCTTTAATTTATGGTCTTCCTGTATCGTACTAACAAGTAATTTCATTGGTCGACACACCCCCTCTGAAATCCCAAATAAGGAACGCATGTGATCGAACCATTGAGCCAAAACTGACAATTTTCTGTACMTTCATCTTTTCTAGTGTTTGAGTTTGTGTTTCTATAGACGCAAATAAAACCAAAAAAATGCTGTCGATACGAAGCAAGGCTGCCCAGCAATTGTTCAGGTAATTTTGCACAGTCAAAGTCTTTTGTTTTATTAGTAAAAACAGCTGAGATGCTGTATGAAATGTGTGCTGCTGCTTTTGTCTATGTCCACCGGGGAATGTGTGTTGATCGCTTTCCCTTTTGTATTCCTAAATGAATAGCTCTCTTTCAACTTAATAATGGCAAGCACTTCAAAGTTACGCTCTGTATTTTATAAAAGCTTTCAGGATTTCTTGTCTAGGATATTTCGTACGTGGAGACGATCGTTGTCCAACTTCAGCGTCAAGAACACTCGTGAAATGCCAGCCGTTCAGCACGCTGTAATTATCGTAAATGCGCTTTAAAATCATATGTCCAATGGTATATTCAATGTTAAGTTCCTATTTTTCTCTTAGGAAGTTTTATTATATTTCTTACTTGCTTTGCACAAAGATTGCACAATTTTCAACTCATTCATATTAATATTGTATACACAACAAAGGTACCGTGCTCTTGTTGAAACAGGATGAAATTTTAGAATTTTGCACTACATCATGTCTCCAAATAAACGAATGCTACTAGCCAAACATTGTACGTTTATTATAAGAAAAGTACGCTCCCCACGTGTCACTCCTTGTGCAGATTAATTTTAAACACAGACAATATGAACCTGTTAATATACTGTAATCCCACATTGTGTGAATGAAAAAAAAAGCGAAAGAAAATGAATGTAAAAAACTGAATCACTCTTCATTTTGTAAGACATTGCTTGTAGTCAAATGTCTTTTTGAATTATTGTAGGGTTGCTGGGGCAAGAACACTTACTATGCCTCCAAATGAACCAGCAACAAACATTGATGGTGAAAACAGAACAAAACTTCTTGAAGCCATCAAGAAACTTGAGAGTGAAACACTTGAAGTACCAGTCATTTCTGGTGGAGAAAGGATCTTCACAGGGGATTGTGGTTACCAGTCTATTGTAAGTTTTAATTTGTTTGTTTTTCTGTGGTGCTGTGCTATATGACAGTGCTGTGATCCATGCCATGTTACAAAGCTTGTATGTATGCCATAATTAATGTTAAGAGTATAATTAATTGTTTTAATGGTTGTATTTTGTTGTAAAGCCTTATGACCATGCAAAGAAGATAACGAAGTATCACAAGGCAGATGAGGTAAGTGTTCAGTATTAATATCACAACCACTTTGAACTGATTTTATTGATAATTTAATGAGATAATAAAATACTTTTAGTTTATTTTTTTGTAAACCATCCTTTCTATCTCAGGCTCTGATAAGACAAACAATTGAAAAATCAATGGCTGCCAGAAAGGCTTGGGAAAGAACTTCTTTTGAAGAAAGGTAGTCATTTTACTAAGAGTAGCAATATAAACCCTTACCTAACAGCCCATTATTGCAAGCATTTCACTATTGTATGCAAGAAAACAATCCTGCAATTGCTAAAAGAACTCTCTGACTCCAATTATCTCTTTGTAATTTCTATGAATGCAAGCTGTTTTAAATGTGTCAATAATTATGTTTTCTCAGGTGCACCATATTTGACAAAGTTCTGGACTTAATGTGTGGAAAATACAGATATGACTTACTGGCGTCAACAATGGTTGGCCAGGTCAGTAATATCGTTTTACCTGAGTTCAAGGAGTATAACCATGAAATATTTGTGATTATGCTACATGTTAAATACTATATGTATTACAGGGTAAAACTGCTTACGAAGCTGATATTGATGTCATCATGGAACTGGTGGACTTTTATAGATTTGATGTATACAATGGAAGAGTAAGTCATTTTTACTGATTTTATTTTTTCATGACTTAACAAATTTTTGAGAGAATTTTTAATTGTTTTCCTTTGTTCATTGGGTAGAAACTAATGGAAGGACCAGAACTTCATCAGCCTCCAGGAATCAAGAACACATTATATTACCGTGGAATGGAGGTATGCACATCGCTGTATGAATAAAACCAAAGACAGCCCATCAGAATCATGATTGAATGTGTTGTTTTTGTTTCAGGGTTTTGTTGCAGCTGTAGCTCCATTCAATTTCTCTGCCATTGCTGGTAATCTTGCTGGGACACCAGCCATTATGGGAAATGTTGTACTGTTCAAACCAGCCAGCACAGCAATCCATTCATCATACATGGTGATGAAAATTTTTGAGGAGGCTGGACTTCCTGCTGGTAAGTTTTGTTTCTTTTGTTTTTTCTTTCCTCTTTGTATCCCTAAACTCTTTTCCTTGTTCTTTCCTTCATGTCCTTGTTTATCATCATCAGTGGAAAGTGCAATGTATTAAATTATTGTTTTCTTCAGGTGTCTTAAACTTTGTCCCATCCAGTGGTCCAGTGTTTGGAAATGGTATCACATCTTCTCCTGACCTGGCTGCTGTAAACTTTACAGGCAGTGTAGGGTAAGTAATTGAAGGAATTATGAAGAGTAGCCTGTTCTCATATCAATGAGAACTAATGTCATTGCACTAGTAACCTTTTCACTCACTTAACACTGCAGTCTTTAAGTACAAAACAATCAGTTTGTCATTAAGTGTCTGGTGAAAGTTTGTCTTCACTGAAAATTGTAAACGTAAGGTCCTTTTGAAGATAACATGAATGTTGTTGTTTTTCTTTTAGTACTTTCAAAAATATCTGGCAAAATGTTGCAAACAACCTTGATGTCTATAAGTAAGTATTACTTAACCTAAACATTCTAAACAAAGACATTACATGCAGAAGATGTCAGTACAGCTGTTTACTGATAGCACCCCCCTTGTTTTGCAGGACATATCCAAGACTTATTGGAGGTAAAGGACATCATGTTATTGTGAGTTCAAAGTGTCTATTCTTTGTCTTGTTTTTAATAAAATTTTGTCTTTCCTGGTAGAATGTGGCGGCAAGAACTATCACTTTATTCACAGTTCAGCTGACGTCAGTAAGTCTTCATGTACAAAGTTTAATTCATAGCATTATCAGATAAGATAATCTTTTTCTGTTTTGTTTTCTGTCAGATAGAGTTGTACATTGTACAATGAGGGCAGCATTTGGTTATCAAGGACAGAAGTGCTCAGCATGTTCAAGAATGTATGTACCAGAATCACTATGGCCCCAGGTTGGTATTCAGACATTGTATTATTAGTGCAAACACTGGATGTTGTTTGGGTTGAACCTGGCTTTCTAAATCAAGTCACCATTGTGTGTCTTAGATCAAAGAAGGCCTAATAGAAGAGCACAAGAAAATCAAAATGGGTTCTGTAAGTAGATTAGTTTTGCAGTCAGTCTGTATAATGTAATAGATGTTCTGATGCTTTATATTGAACTTTTAGCCTGCTGATATCGAGAATACTTTTGTGACGGCTGTAATTGATGAAAAGGTGAGACTTGATTGACATTAATGTTTAAGATCAAAGCTCATTTGATGGAAAAAGTATACTTGTGGATGTTATGAGCCAGCCATGTGTACCTTACTAGACAGCTCTTGGGAATGTTTCTGCTTATAAGAGGACTTTTCTTTAATTTGCATCATACATTTTCATCTTGTACTCACTCATGATTATAATTGAATTATTGTTATAGTCATTTGATAATATCAAGTCATACATTGACTTCTGTAACAACAGCAGTGAGATAACTGTGCTGGCTGGAGGAAAGTGTGACAAGAGGTATTATAATTAAAACTATATAATTATTTCATTGCTTTTTTAATTGAACTCTCATAATGTGTGAGTTTTTATATCCTAATTTCAAACTACCTTGTAGTGTTGGATACTACGTTGAGCCCACGATAGTACAGACTACAAACCCATTAAACAAGATGATGAAAGAGGTTTGTGTATAGTTACATATTTCATTGATTTGAATGTCAATTTACTCATTGGATAATGGTCATTCAGTAGACGTAGAAGCATGCAGTGTATTTCATTGTTTTTTTTTTGTGTGTGTTATATTTCTGTGTTATTTTTATAGGAAATCTTTGGACCTGTTGTTAGTATATATGTATATCCAGATGCTAAGTGCAAGGAGACAATTGAGCTGGTTAGTTATCCTAACATAAGAACTTTATCATTTTCAAGGCATAGATATGTGGGTTGTAAGAAAGTCTTGTATTGAAAGATGTACAAGTGACCACTTTGTTTGAATGTTTCAGTGTGACCAGACCAATGAGTTTGGACTTACTGGAGCAATATTTGCAGAAGACAAGTATGTTTACCGTGTTTTATCAGCCACGTTTCTCACTTCTTGGTCCACTCTCATTCATTCTTTTCCCATTTCCCAATCTCTTATTTCCCTCACTCCCTCCACTTTCCTCTTCTTGCCTTCCTGTCTTGTCAACATCAATATTGAGTTATCTGTCAGGCATCTACATCTTCTTAACTCTCAACCCTAATACTAAATCAAAATTGTTGATGTATTTTATATATTTTGTTAAGGGATTTCATAGCTGAGGCTAGTGATATGTTACGTGATTCTGCTGGTAATTTCTACATCAATGACAAGTGCACAGGCTCAATTGTACAGCAGCAGCCATTTGGTGGAGCAAGAATGTCAGGTGAGTAGATACACAGGGACTCCAAACAGAGTTAAGATGGCACACAGGAATCCCATCCTTACAAATCATAGTATAATTTTCATGCATTTCTTTGCTACATATAGGAACCAATGACAAGGCTGGGGGATTAATGTATCTATTGAGATGGACATCAGCATTAGTTGTCAAGGAAACATCAGGAGATCCTGGTCCATGGCAATATCCACACATGAACTAGACTCTGTATATTGGATATATGAATATGAAGACATTTGAGTGAAATCTAAAGAAGGTTGATGAGGGAAATTGTGCCTTTTTTCTTTGCTTTGAGGATATTTTGTACTTGTCAAACAGCAGGAACAATGCAGTGACTTGATAGCAGCAGCAATGGGACACTACTATTAAGAACTTGATTCATAGTTTAGATATAAGCTGCTATTAAAGTGTGTTTGGGACATATTGCCTTGGCAATGACGACAAGAACTCAAGAATATCAGCAAACTTGCAATGACAGATGCCTGTTGTGCTTACATGCAAAGGCATGTTATCTTTCTATAGCACATTGCGTGTTTAAGGAAAGCAGAAAGGTTTATTGTTTGAATTTTGTAAATTGCACTACTTGGCGATGGTGTTTTGTACAATGGCAAATGGGGTTTGCAATAAATATATCTAAGTCTCAAAAATGTGTCAATTCATTGTTTAAAACTGAGAACATTCCAAGCACCAGGAATGATCTATGGTGGAAGTAGGAGGAGCAAAATTCAAGTCCAAAGTTACCAAGAATGAATTACCACTTACGGAAGGAATAAATATTACATTCTACTAATAAAACAAAACAAACCGAAGCGATCATTTCCCTATCTTGTTAACTCGTGGATTGGATGGGCACTAGGGACACGCACAGACAACATTACTCGTTGATCTCACCACTACATTTTTATTTCCTTCAGTTTTAGCACTATTCTACTTCACAACTTAGTTATTGTTTAGTTTAAAAACAACTCGTGTTAACAATAGTATCCAAACTTGTCTCGTATAGCTGAACACATGCATTTTCGGTACATCTTTGTACACATCGTTTTATTGCACCAGCGGCCATGATATCGGCAAACTTTCCAGGATCTCATACAGCAACCAGGGCGCTTACCGCAACGACTAAACCTCCTTTTGCACATGGACAGTATGCGACCTCCTCGTCGGGGGAGGGCATCAGATGAATGGCGCTCGAGCTCGGCAAGGAGGACGAGGAGGAACAGGAAGATTACAAATGAAACTAAGAAATATATAATAGGACAACTTAAGTCAACGAGCCATGATTGCAAAAAGAGAATAACGTTTATCTTTTAAGATGGTTTTTCTTGAAGGCAACAAAAACGTGCAGAAATGATTCTGAATCTTGTCACAAGATTCTCTTTGGACCCACAAAATAAAGGAAATTTCGAGAATGGAGAGAAAATTTGAAGAGCGCTGCTTTAGGAACCCTGAAACGGGACTTTGTGGAAGTCTAAAAATAATAACAGGTGCTTAGAGCGCGCTTACAATATAACATCCTACATTAACAAATAAATAGAAAATAAAAAGACGAAAATAGTCAATTCATTCCAAGAGAACGGGAAGTTTCTCTATGTAAATCTATGCTGGTTTTAGCAACTGCATCACTTATCGGATTGAATTATAGATATAAACTGAGATTTTGCAAAAAGACTCACGAATACTACTTCTAAATAACTTTACTGCGCCGCGTCTTCCTCAAAAATTGAAATACAGCAAATCATCAAAACAACGCATTTTAGGTGCTTAGTGGTAAAATCATTTTTTCATATCGCACAAATAGTTTCAGAACTAAAATTGAATTGTATAGTTTTCGATATTCAACGTTACTCAAGAACAATTAAATGTATCACAAACCTTTCATTTCCGCGGTTAAAGTAGTTTCCTCAATCGGTACAGTTAAACAGCTCGAAGTGTCTCGCTCCTAGAATAGACTAACTATCTTGGCCTACAGTGCCTTAATTCAACCACTGTTAACTCGGAACTTGTAAAAATTCTTGTTCTGAATTAGATACTGTTATGGCGTAAAGGTCCGAAATAGTTCGCTTGAGATCTAAGGTAAGCGCGCATTCCGTCCAGAAGGTTTTTCCTGTATTGAATCAACAGCAAACACTTTCCGTTACTAGAACTTTGGTGCTTTCGCTGCTGGTTTTTGAAACTTATCCTTATTTTTTTCATAATTTTGATAAAAAATTAAAATAAAGCATGATAATTTGATATCTCTAATAGTTCGCCCGTTTGATTGTTCTGTTAATGTTTTCAGCAAACAATCAGGCTGTGAAATAAGCCGACAAATTAAGAAAATTGATTTTGATAACGTACAAGTACTTTACACTCTAAGAGATCACGTTCAAATCCGAAAGCCGGCAAACGATTTCTCAGCCCACATTTTTTGACGTTGAAAACATTTCAATGCCCTTTAAATGTTACGTAATACATCAATAAAGCCCTTTAAATGACCTTTCAAGAGCTAATGGAAGCCAATAAAGTGCAACAGATCTTTCGAAAATGAATTAATTAGAGTTTAGACGGTTCATAGCGAATAGAAAAGCCTGGTTTGAACACTGACAAGTGTCATCCTAACAGACACAGAGGCGCGATTTGATCGTCAAACAGTCTAACAAGTTACCCAGAAAATCCATTTCAATGCCAATGCTAACTTTTGATCAAACATTCGAGAATAAATAATCAATTTAGCGTTTAAATTTCAAGCAATCAAACAGGTGAAACGCTGACTTCAGATTATTCATTACAGAAGAATAAAAGTTGAATCGTCGTTCAAGAAACCATTAAATGGCTTTGCAGAAATGGATTTATTTACATAAAAATATGGTTATAATTTCACAATTTTCAATCGGTTCTAAATACAAGACCTTTGTACAATATCATTTGCGTAATAATTCATCCTCTAAAACCCACGGAACCTATACACCACTCAAAAGCCCTGGGTTTCCGAGGATGGTAATAGTAATTGGGGAATTTCACGTCTTTCTCCTTGTGACTTGGCTCTCGTTCTATTGTATTTACGACAATGTAAATGACTCTATGCCTAACACGTCCATCGTAATGACTCTATGCCTAACACGTCCATCGTAATGACTCTATGCCTAACACGTCCATCGTAATGACTCTATGCCTAACACGTCCATCGTAATGACTCTATGCCTAACACGTCCATCGTTTGTTGCTGTTTCATCGCAGTTCTTTCCGTTTAAAAGACTGAAATGGATATTCAACCACTCGAAAGGGAAATGATCCTGACCCCAGCCCCCTCGAAATGGTAGCACTCCCACCCCGAATGTAAAATAAGTTTAAGGTGATCAAGCTATTGATAGGGGGGGGGGAGGTATCTATTATCCCATCCTTCGATTTGAGAGCCTGATATTATTGGTGAATGCTAGATTCAATTGTGCGTCACAAAATAAGAGTGAATTAGGGTCGCTATGTGAGGTTAGTGGCCAAGCAGTCCAGTTCCTGTAGACAAAACAAAACAAACAGTTTGTATATGGTAACATAAAATGTATAATATTTCACGTTCTCTATTTGGGTTCCCTGTGGACAAAGTTGAAGTGTAGTACGTACCTTGAAATCCTTTTTCTGGTGTCGTTGAAGCAGCTAACAGTGTTTCAGGGTGACTTCCACCTTGTGGCTGATCAAGCTGACAAGCGATCATCGATAAGTAAGTAATATTCCTTATAACTCATTGCGCATGCTCTCAAGAGTTTTCCGAACCAATCCCACATGCCTTAGAGCGGATTTCGTATGAGTGGGACACCGTTACCGCACGGTTACCGCACATTTACCGGACCTGGCCTTCACAATTTTGGTGAACCAATGGGGCACTAAAATTTGGTTACAGTACGATTACGGTCACAGTACAGTACCGTACGTTTCCCACTTATACGAAATCCGCTCTATTGCCATATTTTTAAATCGTTATTGCAAATTCTGTACATGAATTTAGTTAAATTTGCCAACGCGCGCCAATAGTGTTAGCCCGGCCTGATTTGTCTGCTCTATTGACTACGAACTTGTTACTTGCTTAACAGTTTGATAAACACTCTAATTGTAAAGGTTTTTAAATGAATTAAAGATTACCTTGAGCATCAGTAGACACCCTGGTCTGACACCAAGAGTACTTAACGTAGCAGCATCGTCTGATAGAGGGATTCCTTTGAGACTGAGATGTTGATCCATAGGCATCACTGAAAACGACTTCATCAACTACAAGAACAGAATAGATAAATGAATGAATGAAAGATGGGATGAATAGATGAACAAATGAATGAACAAAGAGATAACGGATGAACAAACAAGGAATCCTAGAATAAAGAATGTATGAGAGAATGAATACCTCTAACTTGATATCTCTCAACGTTTGATTCGAGTTTACAATAAGATCAACCTCTCCACGTTGTTTTCTGTGTCTAAAAAAAAGATTATAAGCATAGATGTAGTTATTAAACCCTTCTATGACGTAAGTTCTGTGGGACTTGTCAGCATTTTAATGTTAGAATGGAAAGCAAGTTTCAGGTATGGGGGGGGGGGGGGGGGGGGGGGGGTATCAATTATCCCATCATTTGATTCGAGAGGCTGTTATTACTGGTGAATGTTAGATTCAAGTGTAAGTCACAAGTAAAGTAGGGTCGTTGAGTCAAATGCGTGCGTCTAGATAAGTAGTCACACTTCTTTGGTTTAGCAAACGGCGAATATTATACGTGCCTAGTCCAATAACACCGGTAAACAATAGACAGAAAACACAAACCTTGAGCTGCGTCTCTTTGATACGTCTGAAGTATTTGATTGTTTCCTGGTGTCTGAAGACTGCAAAAGAAGTGTTAGTATATTAGCAGAATGGGAGGGGAGAGTTAGGGCAGCATCAAACAGCCTTGGAATTTTGAAATGACAACTGACAAAGATCCCGGTCAGAGGCATTATTTTCGCGAATTTGAACCATCAGATGATAACAAGCTTGGGCTCCCTGTGCTGATAACTTGGTAAACCTAAGTTGTTTTTTACTTACATTATAATCCAGATCTTGCGGGGAGTCTGTATCGGCCGTTTCCTAAAAAGAATGGATCATAATAATTACGACACGTGCCAATGAACTGACTCTGGAGGTGCAGGAGGGACGAGGAATGACAGGGAGGGGTATGGTAAGACATTATAAACCTAACCTCTTCAAACCGTCTTTGGATCTCTTCTGGGTCATGCTCGTCTGTAATTTTGCGAACAAATATCGTTGCGTGACGGTAGTGTTCAATCGAACGCGCTCTTTCGAGCATGCGTGACGCATGACAATTTTCACAGATTTCTACAAACGAGAGAAAGAGATAAAAAGAAATGAAAGGAAAGAGAGGGAGAGAAAGCTTTTATACCAGGACTTGTCGAAAACCGACATTCATCACCGTCAGTGGTTTCCTTGGTAACTGTAATCACGTGATCGTAGGGATATCTACTTGAGATGACATCCCACTCTTCCCTCAGTATATAACTGTACCTAAAAACATGAATGGGATTCCTGTGTTAATCAACAATTCGCCTTTCCTCATATCAACTGGCTTACTAGCTTCGTGTTCGGTCAGCTAAGCATGCATGGATTGTTTGGAAGAATAGAAATCCAGTAATGGCGTCTTTCTTTACTGCATTCTTAGTTTAATCGCGTGAATTATCGCATAAATACAACTGCTGTGTTCCTGGCTTCGTAAATAACTTCAGAAATGCTTCAGAACTACAAATTTCTGTCATGTTGTGAAGCTTGGGATCCCTGTGTCGATTAAAATGGGTTCCCTGTGTCCATACCCAGTCTACTTACTCTCGTGAATTATCGCATAAATACAACTGCTGTGTTCCTGGCTTCGTAAATAACTTCAGAAATGCTTCAGAACTACAAATTTCTGTCATGTTGTGAAGCTTGGGATCCCTGTGTCGATTAAAATGGGTTCCCTGTGTCCATACCCAGTCTACTTACTCTTCATGAGACCCATCCTCGCCCTTCAACTCTGGATTGAACATGAATTTCTCATGAGGACAAAGAAGAGATTGGTTTGCAATGCACTTTGGACGACTTACAAAATGATGCCGTCTAAAATAAATACAAGAAAATATTAATAACAAAGCCAAGAAACGTTATTTTTGAAGCAGTACTACCTTAGGAAGGATCTCCATTTCTCCAAAAACGAATTGCTGAGAACATGAAATGATATGTTTGGATTCTGCCAGACAAAGAAACCAATGATTGTAATAACTGTTACACTATTGTCTGGAAGGGATATGATGAGATGGAATGAAATGAGAAGCAATAAGATGAAAAATAATGGAATGGGATGGAATTGTAAAAATGGACTGGACTGGAATGATAAATTATGAGAAGGAATGGGATGAGATAAAATGCAACTGAATGAGATAATGAAAATGCTCCATGATTTACAAGAAGTCTTTCTCACTTAATCAACCAATTAAATATTATGTAGCAACTCACATCTTTGTCATATAAATTTGGTCTGTGTTTATTGTAGTATAGACTATTAAGAATACTTCTTTCTTCAACAGCAACTGTCTTGTTGATCTCTAAATTCCTGCGTTCATCTTCACTTTCCACCTTAAGATGTAGTTCACAGTCAAAATTATCAATTGGTTCTTAACACATATAAAATCAAAATAGATAAGTAAATAATGTAGTTATAATATCAAGTTATATACCTGACATTGCTGACAAACAGGATGATTTTCAGGAAATGTAGGAGCTTCATTGAAGTAATAAATCAGTCTTTTCCATATTGACTCAGAAATAAGTCTACGACATGAAAGACTTGGCACAAGATTGTCTAGAATAAAGAATAAACCTATAGAAATACATAGGTAACTGCCACACTAGCTGGTGAATCATTAGGCATTGTGTTACTGACTTACTATGTACACAGAGTAGGTCTTCATTGAATTTTATCAACTCTTCTTCGTCATCATCATCATCATTATCGGAGTCATTCTGCTTTGAGCTGTCCTCCTGGTTCGGTGAATCCATTTGTGACGGACTGCCCTTGAAAGACACTTCAGCGCATGTACCATTCTCCAAACCTGCTGCTAAATTGCTTTCTGCGGACAAGAAAGAAGAGAATTTCCTCCTTAAGAACTTTCAAAAGTTCAAATTTCATATGATTAGCGTAAAATGATTGTTTTAGGGAAAGTCAGCACCAATCAGAACAAATCACTCCTCATAGTTTGAGGAAGCAATACATAAGTCTTCTAAACAATAAAACAAAGCTTAATCTAACTAATAAAGGAGCAATAAAAAGCAGGTTTCAATCGGTATTACTGCTGTTTTGTGCCAGTTACAGATAGCATTTGAGAAAAAAAAGTTATGCTTGATTGGAGCTAAGCTTGCACAAAAGAGAATTCGAAACTGGAGTATTGAACATGGATTCTTGATTTTGCTACCTTGTTTTGAGGTTGTTGGTTCATCTGTTGACATGCTCTTTCTTTTTCTACTTTCTGTACTGAGACGACTGTTCTTAGTGTCAGCTGTGTTTCCATTTGATTGCCGATTGACAGGAGTACAGTTGTGTGACAATGGTACTTTAACCACTGGGTTTTTAGCTTCTTCTTCTATAGTAGCAAGTCTTTTCCAACTGTGAAGGGATGTCTTACCAACCCAGTATGACCTTCCAATTCTGATAGGAATAAATAATCTGGAATCATTACAACAAACTTTTACAGCAGAAACTGTTGTATCGCAACCTCAATGTTCAAAGGAAATCATTGGAATTTAGGTTTTTCTGCAACTTGGGGGCGGAGCTTGATACAAATCAGCCAATGACTGAAAGAGTTGATGAAAAGCTCTGAACAATACCGAAACAAACTTCAAAACAAAGAAGTCACGATGCAATGATCTCTGCTGTAAATACAGAACACTTACAAAGATGTTGAAAAAGTAAGAAAGGTATGAATACAGTGATTGATCCTCAACAGATTGACAGACCTTGAATCTGGTTTATTTTTTGAGTTTGCTTTAATGAGTTTGTCATCCTCAGCCAGCTTTGCTTTAAATCTAATCTGACGGCAAATAGATTTGACACACTGCAGACATATGGAGTCACTGAAAAGACATTGGTAACACCAGTAAATAACAGACACTCTTTGGAGACTGGAGAATGTCCCAAAGAGGAAATGGTGTGGTGAATTAATATGGGGAACTTTTGTATTTTTACCTTTTAAGTCTTGGAAATCCTCCAAACTGGTCAAAAAACAAATCAGCCTGAAATCACAATTGATCATTAACAAACCTCATTTTCACACTACTATCTTGATAAATGGATGGGAGAATGAATAGATGAGATGGACGAATAAACAGCATCATCCAGCGTCCGTGCAGAGTATCAAATACGAAATTTAAGGACTTTTCAAGGACTTTTTCCAGGACCAAAATTGTATTTTCAAGGAGCATCAAAATCATGCTAATTGTACATTTTTACCTCAAAACTTCAGCCGAACGGAATAATTCAGAGATCGCTAGCGCTTCGTGATAGAGATCCATCTTTTTCAAGGAGTTTTCAAGGACTTTTTCAAAATTTTCAAATTTTCAAGGAGTTTCAAGTGCCCTTGAAAACGAGTTTTCAATTCAAGCACTTTTCAAGGATTTAAGGACCTGCACAGACCCTGATCATCAGTGAGACAATGGATAAAATGAAAAAAAGAGACTTATGGATGAAAAGATGGATGGCTATAAGAATGGATAAATTATAGTTACTAGTATTTATCAATATTAACTATGGATAAATGGATAGAGAGGATGAATGTCAAATAGTTGGATAAAGGACTTGACTGTACTTACAGCTTTAACACTGATCCTTTTAACATTATGAACTTTCTCTGGGTGAAGCCTACAGCAAAGATAACCAATTAAATATTAATCAATAATATATATACTCTTGCACAATCACTTTTAGTGGGTCCTCTCTCCTCTCTCAAATCACGCCACTTTATTTATCCATACACAGGAAGCCCAAAAACTGAGAGAATCACAGTCAATAATAGCCTGCGTGCAGGTGTTCCTCGTTTGGGGCGAACTTACACGCAGGCTAAGTCAATAACTGTTTCACTTACTTTCCGTGAGGACATAGTAGAGATGAGTTATCAATTGGTGGTTTCTTCTCTACCCTGTCATTAAGCCATGTCCTCAGCCATTCAGTTAAAACCCATTCATAGTCTTCCTCTGTAAAGGAATGATAGATAAAGAAATTCATTCTTATATGCATTAAAATTATCCCAAGAACAATTTTTTGTTCACCAGCAAATGTACATGAAGATAAAAGGCATATTTTTATGTTGTAAAAATACCTACTACCTGCTACCTTTCAAGATGGCGCAGGGAACAGTGAAGGAGACTATTGTTATGCTTTTCTTTGTACATTAAGAAGTACCCCAAGTCCTTTAATAATTTCAATGATCATAAACTCTTCATTGACAGATATGCTGCATGTCAACCTTGTTCCTTGACCCAAGAAAAGAGAAAAGGACCTGAGAACGAGGTTGTCAGTATTTCTTACTTGGTTTTACTGGCAGCATCTGATAGATTGATTGTACAGAAGCCTGCAGGTCTTTGCCTTTGTTTATCATGTCATTCTTGATGAATAAAAGAAACAGTTGTAATAAATATATGAGCAAATAAAGAATGAACAAATGAAACAACAGATGGATGATAGAATTAATGAACGAATGGAGAAACTGACAGATGAAGTTTAGAAATGGATGGAAGAACAGTGTAAGAAGGGATTGATAAGATGGATGAATGGGAGAAATATATCAATGAATGAAAGTCAGTAAATCAGTGCTTTCAAAATAAGCTGGCGGCTGCCGGAGTTCCGGCAATTATTTCGTAGTCAATTACCGGGTACTTTACTAAATATTTTTACTTGACTTTTATTGTCCCTTATCGGACACAGCCACCTACTTTATTTCCCTAACTATCTACTTGTAATCATTTTGAAAGCACTGGTAAATAGGATCAAGGATTGTTGGATAGATGGATGGCTGAGTTTGGCTGATTCTATGAATACAAGCAAATGAATAGTGCGAAAAGAAAGATGGAAATAAGAAAGAAAGGAAGGGAAATGAATGGGAAAAAAGAAAGTGTTGCTTACTTTCATTTTATTCATTTCATCAATCCACTGTTCAAATGTACTGTTATCCTTGGCAACCATCTCTTGCAGATGTTCAGGAATCTCAATCTTGGCCTCAGGTACAGCATCTTAGTCCAAAAAATATTAAATTTATATTAGGTAATTAATAATTAGGAAATAGTCCAAACTACAAACAGAAACCTACCATTTGTTCTCCTGGTGTAAACTAACATGTAAGCATTGCGTGAAGTGTGAGACCCTTTGCTACACTTGGGTCTTTTGGCAGGTTTTTCACCAGGATCTAAAAACAATGAAATGTTAGTTTTATAGACCACTTTCACAATTGCCTACTATCGATTTAATATGATTGACAATATTAAGGAAACATTCAGCACTGTCATATTGAAGAACCATCAGAAATAAGTAATGGTGCAAAATTTTGAAGATATAGACTAAATACTAACGAAGTTATGGAGGAATGAAAATACAATGATTTGTATGAAATTCTTTACTGAGGCCTTGGTGGCCTCGTTTTGGTGTTTTTGTGCATCTTCCAACCCTTATAACTTCCAGAGGATTTAATAATTTTCTTTGAAACTTGCAGAGCTTATCTTTAGCTTTGATATCTATCATCTGAGTGTTTTCGTTTGTCAACATTATGAATTTAACAATAATATGCTTATTAGTGTCGGCCATTGTGAAAGTCATGTATGTGCATGATGTTCATAGTAGGTCAAAACTTCTAGATGTATTGTTTTTGGATTGTTTTTCCTGGGTGTTTTACTAATATTCTTGGTTTTGGTGAGTTCGGTTACTTTTAAAAGACTTAACACTTCTCTTTTAGCCATTGATAATATCAAGTTTTGAAGATGACACAGAAATTAATTTAAAATTTTACTGATTACATACCGGTATTTCATAATTATTATAGACTCTTTGCACTAGTTCATGAGAATGCAGCTCCAACTGGAGGACAAAACAATGGTTCTAGTTCACAAAAGTGGGAAAATATTTTGTTTTGTCCTCCAGATTTAGCTGTTTTGGCATCACAAGTCTATAATAGTTAACTGAATTACAATATAAGTTTACCTGACTCATCTTCGCCAGACAGTTTTAACTTATTGTTCATCTTTTCAATGTCTTCATCATTGAACTTGTACCACGTGTTGGCCTATGTTTGCATGGCACATTAGTTATATCAGTGTTACAATGATTGACAGCTTTTAAGTCCTACCTCGGTGTCTCTGATGTGTGCAACATAGTGTCCTGAATAAGCACTGGTACCTTGATGCATCAATACTGCCGTAAGGTCATATACGGCATCACTGGTATCTGATAAAAGGATTCATACATGATTTATACAGATAGAAGTATTATGAATTGACAGATAAACAAATAACTGCATAGATGATGGTTGATAAATGAATGGATGGATGAATGATAAATTGATGACTTGATTTGACAAATGCATATTAAATAAATGCATGGATGGATTTATGAAAGGATGCGAAAATAGATGGATGGAAAAACAAATGGATTAATGAATGAACAAACAAACAAACAGACAAATGCCTTATGATATATATGAAGGACTGAACAATAAAACGAATAATTTACAATTAGAATAAAGATAGTTGTTTACCTTGTTTAGCATCGTTTCTCAAAAATCCATCTAAACTCAATACATCAGGAAACTGAACATGGCTGTTTAACTTCTTCTTGTAACCTGTTTTCCTGTAAATGTGACAAGCCATAAGCGTGGCTTATCACTGGGTATAGTTCTACGCATTCCCTCTCATACCTGTCAAAGACAAATCTCAGCAGTTGAAGGTTCAATACTGGGGGTAGTGCTTGTATTTCTATATATCTTTTAGCATTCTGTTTGCTGTTACAAGCCATACAAAAATACTGATTATCTCCATTTAGTTCCTCTTCCTGTAAAGTTGATAAAAAACTCAATCTAACTAACAGAATAAACAATTTTAAATAAGACAGGAGGAAAGGAATAGCTGTAAGCAAGAAAAGCAAAGCCTACCTTGAGGAATTCTTTGATACATTGACTCAAAGATGAATGCCCCTGAATGTTGAGATCCAGCTCAAAGAACTGTGATAATGTCATGGATTTGTTACCACAATTATCACACCTGAAAAACACAAAAATAAATTGCGTAATCAATGATACTATTTATATTAGAGTATGTACACTAACATATAAAAAAATAACTTTTTCAAAATACTTACTTTGTAACATACACATATTCTCCTCCAAATTGTTTTTGAATCACATCTCTGACTTCTACGTTAGGCTAATCAACATAAACAACAATATTATAAAGAATCTCATAAGTTTGAAGCTAAGAAAATGCTTAAGAGACTATAAAATGGTATTGACGTAAGGCTTTCTACCTGTGCAGACAATGTTGACTCAAGGAGTGACATGAAAAGTTTACTGAACTCTTGAGCATCCTGCAAATAATTTTAATTATTGAATATTAAAATATTCATTAAATTAATCAACATTTATCAATTATTCCACAAAGGAATCATATCATATATCTTTTAAAATTTACTTCTTTAATCAATCATCCACTTTTAATACCATCCATTTATTTTCCCATTTTTCAGTCATTCAATCATCTATTTCTTTGTTCATATTCATCAATCTGCTATCAAATACCTGCTGTTGTGCTGTGTCCAGACCAAGACTGTGTATTAGAGGAGTAGGGTCTATATACCTTGTTAAAAGACAAGGAACCAATGAATATGGAATACAATGAGTGAATGGATGCAAGGATAGAGTACAAACACTAAAACTGTGCAGCATAAATACCACTAAATACTGCTAAATTATGCTAATTCTATTGTTTAATTAACACTATTTTGTAGTAAATAGTGGAAAGTGTTGCCCACATTCAATGTTTGTACTCTAAAAGGGATAAATATACAATGAGATATGAAGGAATAAATGGAAATAAGGATAAATAAATCTTGAATGGATGGATGGATGGTTGGATGAATAAATGAAATGGGTGAATTGAAGGAATGAATGAATATAGATTAAATGTATGTAAGAACAGATAATGAATAGATAAATGAACGAAAATATGAAAGATTTCTTTCACTTAGAGACAAAAATCAGGTCTTTTGACTCAAAGATAATGGCTTAGGGGGAGCAAGGATGGCCGAGCGTTTAAAATGCCGGTTTATCACCACTGTGGTCCTGGTTCGATTCCCAGTCTGGGACTATATGTGATTTGAGTTTGTAGGCTGGTTCTCTTCCTTGCTCTGAGGGTTTTTCTCCAGGTCTGCTAGTTTTCCTCCCTCAGTCAAAAACTAGCTGTGAGGAGTGTTGTGTAGTAAAATAATGAATGTTGAGCCTGTAGTGAGTATGAGTGAATATATAGAGGGACACAGGTTTATTAGTCTAAAGACTTTATTTTTTTTACTGTTACCTTCTGGATGTATACTGTAACTGAGCAAAGATAAGCTGAAGATGCGCACATATATTAGTGATGTTATCGTCACTAATACAGCTAGACGGCATTAATGGTGGTAAGTTATTGGATGGTTTGACGGCGTTCTCTTTGACCTCCGCAGTACTCTCATCCATTGGTTTCTCCTCTTTAGGGGTACCATGGGCTATTAGAATAAATGAGAATTGAATGAATGAATGAAACGAAAGAATAACTAAATGAATAAAAAAATGAATAAATGAATGAATGTATGGATGGATAAAAGAATGAAGAGAATGGATGATTTAAAAATAATTGAAAGGACAACTGAATGATTCTGAGAAACAAATGGATGGATGAACGGATGAATGAGAGGGAAGATCATCCAAACCAATCAACCCATCACTGTATTGAATGAATGAATAGTCAGGTTAATGAATGAAATACTAATGAACAGATAACAAAATGAATGTAACTCACAAGATGATTGTTGATCATCAAAGTCCAGGTTCCTCCAGTGATATAGAGCAGACCTAAGACTAGTGTTATGAAACCACAGTTGAAGAAAGGTATTGACATAACAAGTAGCACCAAGATTTTTTAAGCCAACAAACTCATTCTGAAAGAGAAAAATAATGATTACTTGGAATACTTTAAAAATATCTTAATAGAGTAGATTTTGTATGGCAGTGTAAAAAAAAACATGCCCTGCTGTGGTCATACCATACTAATGACAATATTATATTACATTATTATCAAGTCAGTATTTCGCATGTCCTGATATGTTCATGTTCTGTGTCCGTTTCTTTGCACAGACACACAAGATTCGCTCTAAAACCATAATTCTTCATAATAATACTGGCACTTGACCAGCAAAAGTGAAAATAATAATCTATAATCACTATGGTTACAATGCTGATAATATTGTGAAATCTTATACCTTTTTTCGTCTTTCAGATTCTGGATCTTGTAAAGTGTGCCAATAATTGTCTGGATAATCATAAAATGAAATCACTATCTAAATTTCAATTTTTTTAATATTTAATATTACAGTAGTACTTCATTGTCATTAAGTAATATTATCTTGAATAATAAATAAATTTATAAAGATTAGAACTATATATGTTACCTTGAACCTCCCCAAGCCATAGCTTTTCACCAAGCGCATTCAGACAATTAGGATTTGACTTACAATTGATTCTGCCAAAAATCCAAAATATCATATTGATTAAGAATGAATTGATTAAAGAAATAGTATAAAGTACGCAACATATCAGGAAACACCTTAGCAATAACAGTAACCAAGAACAAAGGAAAACTACAATTCAGGAACCACAAGAAACCCTTTCACCTAAAATATTTTCATATAAAGTCATGGTGCATTATGGTCTAGCATCAGTACTCGCAACACCATATTTGGACACAGGAACAAGAGATGCTTGTACGAATCTAATGCACACTGCAATGTGCAATACTATTTTCAGAAAGGACTATCGCAGGTCAACTATTAGTTAAATGAGAGGTCATCTGAAAATGATTATCATAATTGCATATTAATAATCAGAGATTTATTAATGATAAATATGAAACAACTACAAAAACATGCCTTTAATATGCAAAGGGAATATGTGCTGGACTGCTTTGAGTTGGAAGTGAAATCGATAAGCTTAATTTGAAACACACACAAAAAACATTGAAATTTGGTACATTGAAATGTACAACAACATCGTTCAATTAAACATAACCTAAACAATCTTCACACAGAAAAACAGCAAATTCACTTTGAAAATGCTTTTCATAGATTTTGACTTCACAACATATGTCAACTTTCTTTATTTTTTCGAATCTCAACTGTCAACAAAGTTGGCTGTCGTTTCAATGAAATGTCTCCATTAATTTACAAATATCATTTCTCGAAACTCAAAACAAGTAATAAACTACATGAAACATATTTATGTATTAAGTGAGAAGTTGAGGCAAATATCGCTTAAAATAAATGAATACAGGACAGAGGGAAGGGGAAAATTGGACGACTGGCAACAAACGAGACTCACCGACAAGACCCTTTGTCGCAAGGCGCCATTCCGATTCGATACGCGGAATCTGCATTTTTCTGTGTAATCTTATGTGGTTCCGTGGTCTCAGCCCATAGCCAGGCAACAGTTTTATGCAGTCTTGTGCCTTTCCCAGGCCCTTTTCCCGTACTTGTCCTTCCCCGCGCCATCTTGGATTTTTCTTTCTTCCCGCCGAGGATGACACATCATTACGCATGCGTAGAATGTCAGCTAATATCACAGGAAGCCCAGAGCAGGAATTTCTACGAGAATCCCAGATAATGACTTAAATTCTTTGATTATAGAAGAGACAGTGATTTAAGATGATGCAGTTTCAAATATAAAAAGCAAATACCCTCTATTAGCCTTTATGACCTCTATTGGCTGATTAAATAAGTCAGAATAAAGATCAGTCTTTTTGGGCTCCCTGTGTATTTCTTGGAACTCAAACTTCTTTTAAGAAAATGGCTGACCCGGCAGACAGAGAAGCTCATGAAGTCTGGATTCATTATTATCCACAAAGGGAACCTCTTGCACAATTCTTTGAGAGAAATAAGCCCTCTCAAGTCCATATATCAAAAGCTCATTGGATATCCGTTGACAGGATCGAAGAGGAAGAAGACGAAGAATCTGGCGAAGAAGAAGGAGACGAACAAAACACTGAGCTTGAAGAGTGTGTCGAGGAAAGACTGCGCAGGATTGCTATGCTAGCAGAGTGGAATAGTTTACTAAAGAATCCATCAGCCAAGAAAATTACCCAACAAACTCTGAAAGAACTGGCAGTAAAATACAAAATAACTGTCGGAAAATGGCTCGTTTTTGCTCCCAGGTAGCCTGCGTGGGCTTTTCTCGATGTATACAACACAGGGTTCCCAAAGGGTTAGGTTTAGGGTAAGGGATAGGGTTAGGTTATATTGAGGTATATAGAGCATATAATGAGTGTTGTATACATTGAGAAAGAGCCGTCTGCGTCTGTTCTGTGTGTGTTTATAGAAGTTATAGATCCTTTTAAGAAGTCCTGAGGTATTGAGTCCTCCGCGCACACTTGACGTCAAATTTATTCTTTTGAATTTTTTACAATACAAAAGGAATTCAAAATAATAAATTTGACATCAAGTGGGGAGAACTCAGGACAGGTATAGACAGTCATCTTCTGTGTGTATTGCTTTTGCAATATTTGTTACGATTGCTCAGATTATCTTCTGAAAAATCCACCATCCACAATCCACCAAGACTATTTTCACATAAGTCACATAACATATATGTCTACATAATTGTTCTTTTAGTTCTAAAATAGACAAAATCTGGTTCACTATAGCTGAAGCTGTAGTAGATGGCAAACTGGGTTTCTCAGCTAAAGTCAGCACAAAGAATGATGAGGAAGCAAAGCATGTGATTTGTGTCTACACCGAGGACTTCACAGATGAAGAAGATGTAAGAAGGGTTGAGAAAGCACTCAGAAGGCTGAACATCAATGATTTCTTGCAATACAAGGCTGATATCTACACATTATTGAATATATACAGAGATAACTGTAATATACTAGGAATTATAACGACAGAAAAGCATACGACTTCTGTGTTGTCTTCTCTGCTTTAATGCAAACACACCACACCATGAGGTTTCCTAATAAGGTCAAGGGGCACAGGTAGCCCAACATATAACAATAACAACCTTGGTATTCGACCATGCATCTACAGAAGTGAGGCAAAAGTTGTACCAAAAGCGACTACCAACTATGACCATAGTAGGTCTCTGGCAAGCTTTTTGGAGGAATACAAACCATCTCAAATCAGTGAGCATGAAGCAACATGGATAAATGTGTCAACCAAAGAGCATTATATAGATACTGAAAGCCAATCCAAGCCTGAAGAGGATGGAAAACTCTCTGTTGCTGCTATGAAAAAAGAATGGAAAGCTATACAAGAAAACAAAGCAGCCAAGAAAATTACACCAGAAATACTTGAGGAACTTGCAGTAAAGTACAGAATTACGGCAGGAAAATGGCTGATATTTGCAGATCGGTAAGATATTGTGAAGTACGGCTTGTTTTGTGGGAAAATCTTTATTTGATTGAAATTGGTTTGTGAATATTGCCATAAGATGTACACAGTGACAAAAAATATCTCTGACAATATTATCTTTGAAATATAATTGAATTTTCCACAAGCAGAAAAATGTGTCCATTGATAGTTAGACTGTGAAAATTGAAAAGAAAGCTAAAACTCCCAGATTACTCCTTTACAAAATGAAATGCGATCTTAAAAAAGGTCCTGGAAAATTTACTAGTTGAGCTTAAAAAGTTCTTGAATTTTGTGATGAGAGCATAAGCATGAACCCTAAAAACATTGTATTGTAAATTGTCCGCCATTTACCAAAGACCTTATCAAACTTTTATTTGTTGTATAGTGCCGAAATAGATGGTTTGTGGTTCTCTATAGCAGAAACTACAGTTGCTGGAAGACTGGGTTGCTCGGCCAAAGTGAGCACAAAGAAGACTGGTGACCCAAAGCATGTGATATGGGTGTATACCAAAGATTTTACTGATAAGGATGACGTGCGCAGGGTTGAGAAAGTCCTAAGAAGACTGCATGTTCATGATTTTATGCAGTACAAAGCAGATGTGTACACAATTCTGAATATTTACTGTGATAATGATTTAGGGATTCCTCCTTGTGTGTATAAAAGTACAGCAAGCCATGATTGGCAGCCAGTTGAACCAAAATCAAATCCACCAAGATACCAGCAAAAGAAATATGACTTTTCCCAACTTAAAAAGTTAATGTAATTATGAAATTATAGTTATTGAAATAACTAAGTGCAAATATATACCCAAGATATCAGAGAAAGAAATATGATTTTCCCCAACTTAAAAAGTTGATGTAATTATGGCGAAAATATAGTCATTAAAAATGACTAAGTGCAAATATATATCTAAGATATTAGAGAAAGAAGCTTTTAAAAAAAGTTTTTGGAAGAAATATGATCATTTCTGAATTTGTTATCATTGTTTGTACCAAAATGGAATCTAAGATATCAAAATATCACTGTAAGTATATTTGATAATAAGGCCAATATCTCTTAAAAGAGATGTTTTCAATAAAATCATTTGGTGGGAACTAGCGGTAAACTAGTGTGAGCTACGTCGGTGTTTCTAAAGAAACAGTTGTGTAAAAAGATAAATTTAACACTGTAAAAAAGTATATTACTCCGACGAAGTATTAACGTCCGAAACGTTAGTAAGCTATTTCACTTTTTTCGGTGTTAAATTTATCTTTTTATACAACAATAAAATCATTTGACTAGGGTTGACCAAACTGGTTGACAATCGCTACACATTTACTTCGTCTCATCATTTTATTATTCTAAAAACAAGTATTCCAAGTATTGTCAACAACAAAATGTCACTGCAAAGGATGACTGTAGCGTAAAGAAGCAATAATTGTATCCAGTGTATGCACAGGGGGAGGCAGCACACACTGCCATTTCTGTGTGATCTTTGATCTTGTGAAGTCCGTCACTCTTTGAATCAAACCGAGCAGTGAAGGATCAGGCTCACACAGGTTGATTCTCCGTATCACCGCGCAGCCTTCTGATAGTGCATTTAATACTATTGTATCACTATTAGCGTCAACTGAGGCAAAGTTTATCAGAGACAACGACTTGATGACCTTGCAATAGCGTATCAAGTTTGGAATAAACATCGAGTCAGACAAAGCAGCTTTACCAAACGCGCCGTACTCCAAGGTCTCTAGGCGTGGCAGTGCTATAAGTACTTCGGCCATGGCAGCTGGGGAGATATTTGATGACTGGTAGACCCCTAGACACTTCAGTTTTGGTGATGCTTGCGCTAAGGCGAACAGAGCATCAGGAGTAAGCGTTAAACTCCAACGTACATCTAACATCTCAAGGTTGGAACAGTTACGCCTGGACGCCATTTCAAGAAGAACTGCATCAGTAACCGCTCGACCCACACCGCAGTACGATAAATTAAGGTATCTTATACTTCTCATGCGACTCACTAAATTACAAAGTCCAATCTGTGTGAGCTGCGCACATGCTGAAATGTCAATCTCCTGAAGCTGGACGTTATTCCATGCACGAAAACTGAAGCACTCATCCCGGATGGGCGTGTACCGGAGAAGTAATGTTTTGAGGCGTGGACAGCAAGATAAAAACTCCGAGAAAGTCGACCCGTAAACCATTTTACATCCATTCAAACACACAGATTCTAACAGAGAACAGTTTTGAGCAACTTTAGAAAGAACGTCATCAGTTATTGTATCACAGTTTGTGCAGTCTAGAATTACAAGGTTGTTGAGCTTTGTGAATATGTGCGGGACGTTCCCTTTGGATGTCATGACGCCGATGCCAAGGTATTTTAATGAACAAAAATGCCTACTAATTCTTCTGATGAAGCTAAAGTCCCCTTTGACAGGTCGCAACTCCAAAAGCTCCAATTCGGATGGAAAATCGTATGTTGCAGGGCGCTTCATGCAGGATCCTCTAAGCTTTGAGCCACGTCCAAAAACTAAGTGTTTGATGCGCTTACATTTTCGCGCCAGCTCCATGAACACGTCATGAGAAACTTTACATCCTCCGAAATGTAACGTAGAGAGGAGAGGCGACATCCTTGTCCTGATGAGACTCTGTAGTAACTCTTCACTCATGTTATTGGCAACTCTTCTCAGATTTACAGCTTTCCATAGGCTGTGATCGTACGCAATTCTTTGCCACTGGTAGCATACCCTGGACGCTCGACCGAGGTCAGCTATTGGTAAAAATGAGAATATCTTAAGAAGAATGACATCTGGTAGCTCATCCATTGGGCTTGCTCAGAATGTTTTTAACACATCTACTTCATCAATTTCATTGCTTTGTTACGTAGCCATGCCGCGCGCTTAATTTTCTTTGCGCGTCATTCGATGAGGCATTGATGACGTAAAATTGAGTTATGCGCGCGTTTTAAATTAGCGCGCGAAACAGTTTTGCGAGGGGGTGATAGAGTATGTAATCATATCTGTTGGTCAGGTTACCAATGTAGTAAGCAAATGAGTTGTGCTAAGCAACGTACGTTATTTTGTTTGTTTTCTTCACGTGATTTGATACTGGAAAAAAAAACTTTTTAATTTCGCATCAGTCAGCTACAGTATGTACGGTAGCACAAAAGATTGGGACCACAAAGTCGCTGCCTTTTTGTAAATGAATTCACGCCTGCCCCTGCCTTCCTTGCTAGTCCCATTCCTCCAATATATTATTACCTGACGACCGAATCAAAAACATCGAACAAAGTCTATAGCCGATTTCTTCGAGGCTAAAATCAGTCTTGATTGTGAAGTTAATAAACTTCTCAGCTTTTTTAATAGTCGACATGAAGAGCAATAAAAAAACGTAGATTTTTTGAAAGAAAATCACTGGCTTTTTACGTTTGATGAAACTCACACAGTTCTGGTGTCCTGCTGTAACTTAACAACTAATTATAAAACAATCAACATTGAAATTCAATTAATTAGCACTTGTATTTTACGTTAAAAAGCGAGTGTAAAAACCTCAGATTAGATACTATTCGTGTTATTTTCTTGCCTTAATAACATTAACTGTAAATGGTATATACCGGAACGTTTAGCGTTAATTACTTTGTATTATTTTTGATGACATTGTGTTTATTGTTCGTTTAGCTTATTAACAGCTTACTGGAATTAGCTCAAGTGTGAAAAACATTTTATTGGTCTCGACTATTGTGGCTTTCGTCACGTTTTTCAAACACAGCATCCACTAAATCAATGTCTTTTTCTTCTTTTCCCCACCTCAGATATCGAACTTGTTTCATTTCTTGTTCGTTTGGAATTTCTTGCTGGCAAAGACGAAGTCTTTTGTCAATGACGTCATTAAAGTCCATGAAACCTAAACTGGCAAGGTCAGGTGCGACTTGTACGTCATCGTCGCTGTGGGCTGCTTTTGTTAATATAGAATTTAGAAATATACTATTTGAATCTTCACAGTCTTGTTTTTTATCATTAATATTGTTATCAATTTCTTGGTAATTAATGGTAGGCACTATAAGTTGTTGTTGTTGTCCATTGCTGTTGTCTTCTTGTCTATTGTTTTCCATCTTACTGTCAAAAGGTTGAATAGAAATGAGCTTTTCACGAGTTAATGGCGATGGACAGACTGGCTCTAAGTTTTGAAGGGTTTTTCTGGCTGTTTTTGGTGAAAAACGACATCTTTCTTCAACACTTCTCAAATCTGGTAAAGATGAGGGGCGATGCACCGACGGCAAGCCAGTTGTTGGTTGCAGTAAGTTTTTCTGGACATCCTTCCTGGCTTGATTTTCACGAGGACTAGTTTTACCACAACTAGAATTACTAACTAATGATGTTTGCTGTACATTAATCTCAGGCAAAACCAAACTCTTTTTCTGTTTTTCCTGTAAATTGTTGAGTGATCTGGCGCTCGTCAAAGTGCGTGGAATCGGCGTCAGGGCGCGCAGTCCGAAATCACTATTTGATCTTTCTCTGGTTCCATTACTAAGTCTAGCTGATTTATTCCTCCTATCGCCATACGGTGATGTCTTTAACTCCATCATGTCTGCATGTATAGACACAAGTTTGTTGTGTAGTTGTGAATCAAGGTCCTTTAAGTGTCCAGCAAGACGTCTGTGCTCGTTTGCGTTTCGTAAAGTCATTTCTTTTCCAATATCGCTGTACCTAACAAGACCTGTTTGAAGCGACCGTTCGTGTTTCTTCATTTTGATTCTTTACCTGAGGAAGCAATAGCTTGATCGTCAACAATTTTGATCGTCAATGATACAAGCACTCGACCAAACAGTCTCTTATTGAAACAATATCTGACATGCCTCACCGGTTGGTCGTATTTGATTGGCTCAATATGAAGTTTAAACTGCGCGCAAGTGGTTCTGAACTAAGCCCGCACTTGAGACATTGCAAAAATATTTATAAAGTTTTACTGTGATGACCAATGATCTTTTCTCTTTATCATTCTACTGAGATAAAACACGTACTGTTGGACGTCACGTTTGGTTTTGACAAGTTAGCGATAATTGTCTAAATACAATGATCGCCGTCATAGACAAATAAAAAGGTATATTACAGCATTACGTTGCAGGTTACCTAAAATAGATAAAAATCGTGCCTTAACTCATGACCAGTACTATAAATAGATTATAAGATGATAAAAATAGAAGAAATGTTGGAAACTTTACAATACAATACCACGAAAAAATACAATACACAGCAAATCAAGAAGAAACAGACAAACTATTGACCCTGAAAATCTCTTCTCAAACATGGCACTGCTAATTGATAACATATGTATCGACGTTTTTTCGAATTCTCCCTTAGCTCTCTCAGTCCTATATATAGTCCCTGATTGACTTTTTTCTGTTACTTCTTTCTTTCTCTTTCCTTTCTTACTGTAGTTTCAGGGAAATATAGTTACTTTGAGTTGATTGATTGCCAGCTTCCGCCATACTTTTCTCTCCGACCTTTCAGAGATGAGTAAAGTGAGTTTTTTGTAATAAAAAAACGACGTTTATTGATGGTCAAGACTTGTGAACTTGTCAAACAATACATTGTGAATGAAATCTACACTTATATATTTCAGAGGTGAATTTATTAAAATAGTCAAACTTGTTGAGAAAAGTTTTGAATACTCATTTAACTGTCTGTCTGTCCAAGGATGTTTCAGGTCCTTAAATATACACAAATCTGTACAAGAGTACTTATAATTTATTCATGACTTGAAACTTTTAAGAAATAATTATGCAGTAATGTAATGTCAAAAAACACGATAATTTCGCAGGTTGCTCTGCTTGAGTTGCTTAAAAATAGGTAAAAAATCAATTGACAAAAAGATGTTATGCTTGGAAAACTGAAAGAAAAGAACGCCATGGATAAATCATGAACTTGACAGATTATTTTCAGAATTTAAGAACATTTCTGGATTCCTTAAATTTAATAACTTCTCGTGATATTTGGCAACACTTTCGTTCAAGTCATCCATGAGTTTCTTCTGTTGCTGGAGAAATCTTTTTTTCAGGGAACAATTTGCTCTTCGCGATAGGTAAGTATATTGCTTGATATTGTGGCTCGCTTTGTCAAGGCAGTTTTAGAACAGTTTATTTAGTGATTCAACAGTTATAATTGCTTAGTAAGTAGGAGAGGGAATTTATGACCGACTATACTAATAACGTCTGCAAAGGAGGCCCTAATTTTAAACCTACTGATCAAACTCTTGACGAGGCTAAGTCTTTGCCACTCAAGTTGGGAAAGGTTTTTCACCTTTTCAGACGCAAGGAGTCAAAAACCAACGAAATTTTCCAGTTTTTTTACGACATATTTTCGCCAAAAATATAATTATAATCGTTAAGTACAAAAGTGCTTTACATGGTGGAAAAAATAAACTCAAGTCAATTTCTTTACTGGAAGTAGTCACTAGCCTAGCCTATCACTAGCCTAATACAAATGTTGTTATGCAGTTTGATAAAAAGTTGTTGTCGAATGACCAAGTGGGATTATGGGAAGCCATAACAATAACTGGGACCTAAGTCTTCCTCGGCCACCAAATGTTTATCCGATCTCAGAAACTATAAAAACAAGATGGCGGACAATGGCAAAAAATATTGTCGGTGTTACTGAAATGTGAAAAAAAAAAATCTATTTTAAATCAATATTGGATAAAATTAGACTGATTTTACAAATGCCAAACTATGTTACCACAAGAAATGTTCGTACATCACTATACTTCACTGTAACTAATTTTTCACCGTATTTTTTGGACAATAACAGGCTCGATTTTATGGGAGTATATATTAGTTGATTTTATATTAATTATAGAAACAGAGCTTTTACGATAGTTTTAAAGTAAAATTTCCCTTCTTTATTTACTTAAATTCCTTTTGAAAATAATCTTCTATTTACTGAATTCCCTGTAGCGTGTCACTATAGTTTCACCAATTGTCAAGCAGCTGAAATCTACGTATTATGATTTTGCATAAGAATTCATCGAACTTTCAACAACTTCTGCTCTCACTTCGCTTATTTTTACTACATTTTGAAATGATTGCTTCATGGATTTTGAAAACAAAGCTCAACAAACTCAGAGGAATGAGTTACGATGACAGGTATTGTGTGACGAAGTTACGTTTTCGGTTTTCGCTTCAGAAATCCGGGATATAATTCTTTTATATATGTACGCAGTTTTCAATAATATGAAGAAGTTTTATCAAACCAAAACACTGCCATTGTAAAAGTAATGGTTTTGAGGAGTGCTGATAATTGATGGCCCCTCGGCTCACGCACTTTTGAGTTTCCTGAACAAAGAAATTTCAACATTGCCAAGCAAGAAACTGAGTAAAATTAATGTTTTTCTCAACAGACGACAGCAAAAGAAATAAACTAACTTTAGCTTTTTATTTAAAATTCTTAACTTTTCATAATAAAGTTGAGATAAAGGAATTTTTGTTGTTTTTAGTTTTTACGAAGAGGTTACAGACGAAAAATGGAAAATTTTAACAACTTCTTCCACAAGGCAGCATTCAAAAAGTAAGTCTTTCAATTGTTTATCTATATTACCTTAAATTCCATGCCCTCCGCATAAACTGGCAGCACACGAACGATGAAACGAGCTATCAAAATAAAAGAGAAACTATAAACAAGTGTCAGTGGTAGGTGACCCAAGATGTATTCACTGAGGAATAGCCTGTGTACATCCGTTTCTCACCCCTCAAAAACTCGGGGAGAGAATGTCTGTGATTTGCCGTTGCTAATCGTGTTCTGAGGTCCTCAAGATTAGCAACGGCAAATCACAGACGTTCTCTCCCCGATTTTTTGAGGGGTGAGAAACGGATGTACACAGGCTAACTGAGGAATAACTTTTGCAAAATCCACATGATAAAATAAGCCATTCGTCAAGGAAAATATTGGATCGCTGACCAATAATGTTGAGCTAGCGACCAAGAATTTTGAATTCGTTTGTGTTGTATGGAGTGATTCCTTCAGTTTAATCGAGTGATGTGGACCGAATTGACGTGTTATCATTATATCAAACTTCATTTGCTCATTCAATCAGTGACGTTTAAAGCTCAACAAGAATATTATATGCATAATTATCAAAATATTATTTTTATTATTATCATCAATATCTCTAAACTACATCATTTTTACTGTTTATTATTATTTAGATTATAACCAATCATTGATATCTTACAGAAAACGATAACTTAGTCATCCCACAAGACATGCTTCTTATGAAAACCAATGTACTCTCACATATCCCAGAATGCTTTGACCTCAGCTCCCCAAAAGTACCCGTGAAGCATCGCGGAAAACTCAAGGAAAGACACCCACCCAAAACCCAAGTGTTTGTCCAAAAACGACCCAAAAATGAGCCGCTGGTAAGAACAAAATCCGACGAGGAGAAAATCAAACATTTCCAAGAAAGAAATAGAAACCTAAGGCATGAAACTGCATCTGATAGTAACTCTACAACCAAAGTACGATTTACCGATGCTGATGGCCAAGTTGGTGATCCTTCAAGCTACACATACCAGAAAACCAAGTCTAAAATAAGATTGAAAACGAAAACCAAAATACGACGAAGTAACTGGAGGTCAAAAAGCGCTCCTACTCTTAGAAGAAACGAAGAAATCACTACATCGTGTACAGAGTTTAGTCAAGAAACCAACATCTCGTTTGCAGCCTACGTGAAGAAAAGGACGCCAAATCTGAATCTTTCTAAAAAGTCCAAAGCAAAAACTCAGAAACTAAGACGAACTCATGGATCTGAAAATATTAACTTGGTAGGTTTTGCAGGAAAAGATGAATCCCTTAAATCAGCAAGTAAGAGAAACGTCACTTTTAACCCAATTTTTGAGGACGAAGACTTTGAGGAGCAAGGTACTGCTCACAATACACGTGAAAATCACGTGACAAGCAACAGACTTTCACGTGAATCTCATGTGAGCAGCAGAATCAATGAGAATACTAAGTCACGTGGTAGCGACTTGAAAAGTGCACCAAAACGACACACTGATCACGTGCAAAATTTTGAGTCATTGAAAAGAGATCCTCACGTTCAGGGCACCAATAGGGACATCGAAGTAAGATCACACAACGACGATACTGAATACGAAATTCCAATCACACGTATTGATGACAATTTGACCGAATTTGACGAAGAAAAGTACAGCGATCACGTGCCAGTCACGTGCATTGACCAAAGAGATCCCCACGTGCCAGTCACGTGCATTGGCCGAGAAAACTATAGCAATGACGTGCCTGTCACATGTATAGACGATGTACCAGTGACATGTATCGATGAGATACTTGAACATCATGATCACGTACAAAATAAGAACGATTATGTTGGCAGTCACGTGAGGAAACCAACCCTTATAAGGGCAGGGCGTCTACACGATCTTGATATGTGTAATTGGTACGATGAGGATTATGATTATGATTACAATCAAGAGTATGATGATGATGATGATGACTTTGAAACTCGTATGCTGCGACGAACTGCCACGATTTTAACATTTGATTTGAAAAGTCGTCGACGTGAACTGTATACAATCGATGAACAACCAAATGAAGAATGAGAGACTCATGGGTAGCTTTTAGTCGGCTAATATGCTCCTTGTTTTGGGACAAAATTTCAGCCGGGGCGGGGAGGGGAGTTTCCCATTTTTAGTACATTAAAGAAAAGCTGTAGCTAAAATAACGATATAATATCCAGCAAAACAAGATAGAGTGGTTTTCATTAACCTGTGAAACACACTTTAGCGTACAGAAACTCATAAGGGTTTCTGAGCGTATTTATCGCTATTACACTTTGGCTCTTTTGTTTTTTTATTGTCTCTACGCGACTATTACGATCTATTACACTCTAATTATTACACTTTGTTTCACGGGTTTATGAAAACCACTCTAATATGCCATTAAAGTTTTGAATAAAATCTAATTTTGATTCTAAATGTATACACCTAGTTTAAAAAGGCGGTAATAGACAATGGAAATTACGACCGAAGTGTAGTATGGGTATAAAGTTAAAGATTCATTGCTTGAGACTTGTGTTACTATCAAGCACTTAGCTCTTGTGTCTAGATTCAATGAGCCTCAAAAATAAACAGGCTGGACGGTTCAAAATTCAATAACAAAATAAAAATTCCAATTTTTCTGTCATATGTTATTTTCCGCCAGGCGTTCCAAGCAATTTAAATTGTTTCAAAAAACGAGACATTACGTCATTCCTCCCCTGACGTCAGTCTAGGTTACACCCAGTCTTGATCACGCCACTCGCACTGCAGGAAGCTTATGGGTGTTTGTGAAGTTTCGCTTCAGTTTCTGATATTTTCAGGCGTTTTAACTTCACAATTGTGACAAAATGTAGGAAATCTTCGATCCAAAACCTTAGATATTCGTTTTATAGCATAAAACAAGTAGCTTAGTGATGTCTGTAAGTTGAAAGACGCTCTGTCTGCAGTCATGTGATCACGACAAGCAGCTTTGGATTCCTCGCTAAATCTCGCTTTAGATTGAAGTTCTATAAGGTAAAATACCTTTAGATACGACTTTGAAGTCTTTGATATGTTTTAGTTGCAGTTTGTTCTAGAAAATGTTCTTGAAAATGTTTCAATTTTCGGATTTGAGAATACATACCGACAAGTTCTAATTTATGCTAATTTATTTTAAAACAGATTTACATAGAGCAAAATTAAAGGCAGAAACATGTTTACATCAATATATTGTTGAACGATGGATGAGAAGGAACGGTAAGATTATATTCTTTAAAAACAGATAATTTATGCACATGGAAAATGAAGACATTAAAATGATGAAACTGGAACACAAACTAGTGTGCCGAAGTAGCTGTGTTATTACCCAAATAAGTAGATTAAAAACAATTTCCACATCAAAGTCATATCTTAAAAAAAAACTCTTCCTGTAAAAGATTTGCCTGTGTTGAGATATCCAGTTTTAAATGTTTTGAATTTTTTGCATTGTTGAGATATTAAATAGCTGTCTATAGTAGCAAATGTCAGTGCCTTTATGCAATGGCAAACATATTCAAGCACTTTATTGTTGGGAGACAACATTAAAATGCTTGTAAACTAACTCTGGTTCAAAGGAACCAGACCAAGTGAATGTATATGGTTACCTAACTATGAAATTGTTTTATAAATGGAACTAGGAAAATAAACTTTAGCAAGAATGAATTGAAAGTTATTAACTCAAAAAAATTCAGTATTCTAGATTATCATATTTAAGTCAAGATATTGTTTGTTTCCAGGAATTACTGCTGTCTGTTACTGCTGCTTTCAAGGGTAGGCCTGGAAAAGTTACGTCAGTTATTCATTAATGAATGGAATTCTGCTGGTGGCTTTGTCCCATGGACTGATTGTCCTCAGAATGGCACTGACTTGTTGACGAAGTTCACCCCACTTCCTTATGAAAGAGCCAAAGTCCAGTCAGGTGACACAACCACATGGGATTTATCTCTATTTGTCAAAGCTCTGTTGTACTCCGCACCACCATTTGTACCTAGGTCCAAAACAGCTTTATTTGCTGGTTTGAAGTGTTTGATTGATACTAGAAACACCCTTTGCCACACTGGCAATGGTAAGATTGAATCAGCAGAGTTTGACATTCTGTATGCTGATTCTTGTAAAGCATTGTCGTTAGTTGGTGCTTTGCCAAGTGACTTCAAGAAAGTTGAGAGAGGTATGAAAGATCGTAATTAATTTACATACGTAGTTTAAACCTTAGAATTTAGAATATGGATGTTACTAGACATTGTTTGATTTTCGCTGATAATCGTTCAATCTATAATGATTATTGACATTATGGAAAACAAGCAGAAGACTGGTAATGATTACCTTAAATGGTCCATGTTATTAAAAATCTGGTTTCACATTATAAGAAAGAGTATATTTAAACTAGTGAATTGGTGTAATTACTTGTGACCAGCCCCTAGGCCGGGTTGTAAGGCATCAATACTGATTTTCACTCAAACCTTTCATATGGTCTATATGTACCAGTCTTTCTTAGACTTCTTACACAGAGAATCTAAATGTGGATTGAAGTTAATATGATTTTCAAAGCGCAATAGGTTTTGTGACTATTTACATACAAGCCTGCTAGGAATCTCCTAATTTCATATTTTTTCCCGTCATTATTAAATTCAGATGTGAAGCAGCAGTGGAGTGAAGTTTTATCTCTAGTAAAACAGTGTGCATCACAAGATACAGACATCCTGCAAGGACTTGGCATAAGTAAGTGTAAAATAAATGCAATGATCAAAATTTTTCTACTCAAGAGATGGAAAGAGGAAATATAAGAATAAAAAATTCACAAACAATTCAGGGTGGATTTCTTTATTTTACAGTAAACAGCAAGCTTGATGATCTGCAGAGGGGAGTAGACAAAGTACAGCTTGGCCAGGAGGAGATCCTCAAACAAATTCAAAATCTTAGCAAACCATCAACATGTACAAGCAAAGGTTAGTGACATCAATTGTTAGGCAGTAACTGATATATAATTTCACTTAGGCCCGGTTCATAGGTCGAGCCAGCGTCGTGTCGAACCAAATAGTTTGAATTTAGCACATGAATAGCTCAACGTATGAATCAATTGAGTTCGGCACGACCATAGCACAGCATTGGCATGGCAGAGTCAGTCGTGCTGCACGGCAAAAGCTCGGCGCTGATTCATATGTCGAGCTATCGTTGTGCCGAACTTGATTCACAAAAATATCTGTTTTCGACAATAATAATTGTGTAAATTCCGTGTTATCGCACCTTTTCTTATGCTTTTGACTGCATTCGGTTCAACGTATGAATCAATGACATACCAAATGGATTTAGGTCGACAAAAATTGACTATTTCGTTTGGTGCGATGCTGGCTCGACGTATGAACCAGGCCTTAGTCACCATATTGGTTATCACATCATACTTGCACAGACCACAGAGCAAACAAGAGCATGTAAAATCTGAAGTCAGCGCAATACAGGCAACCCAAAAATAACAATCACAAAAATACTCCATAGCACGTCGTCATTACAATCTATTTTTACTCAAATCATACTAAAGTGATATCATATTAATTGAAGCAACAAGTAATTATTTATACACCCTAATATTAAAGCAAATTAATAAAAAAAAAAACAGGAAAAATACTGTCTCTTACAGTTTTGCTTTCTGGAAGAAAACATGTTTATATAAGAGTGGCAATTGTCAATGTTCACTAGATAATTCTGTGCAGTTCCAGGAATCATGTATGATTCAGATTTAAATGTACAACAATATTGCAGCTTGGGTTTAAAATGTCAAATTTGATATTTTGTGAAAATTTCAGTCTGTAGAATTGTAGTTGTCAATATATGTATATTTTTGTAGCAAACAACCAGATGTTTCTCTAATATTTTCTAAAAATAAAAATAGGGATAATACATGGCTTACCTCTTGCCAAAAAAAGATAAATAAATAAAGCCCGGTCTACACAAGCAATTTTTTATGTGACAACTATATGGGTTGTCAATTTTATGTGTCGCTCGTCCACACAGGTAATTTCTATGTGACAATTTTTAGTTGTCATATAAAAACTAGCATGCCTGCTTTCCAGCAACTACAGTTGTCACAAAAATTGGCCAGTTTTGCTCATCTACATAGGCAATTAAAAATTGCTTATGTAGACAGGGCTTAAATAAATAAATAAAGGAATAAAAAATGAAGGAAATGAATGAATAAATAAATAGATAAAAAAAACATAAAAAAACAAGGGTTTTCCCTAAAGCCCTGGCATTTTAAGTGAAAATTTGTCAATTAATTCATATAGATCTAATATGGCATTCCTAGAGCGAGAATTGTTACCTGAAGTGTGCCGTTTTTTCTTTGTTAGATGCAGAAGAAGACATCAACAACCACAAGGAAGCGATAACAAAGCAAACAGATTTGCTACCAAAAGGACCCGATCAATCGAGACTGAAAACTGACGATATTTTCACTAATTTAACTGTCTACCAAGGCAAACAAAAATCTCGAAAAGAAAAAGCTCAAGGTCGATATATTAATCTTGAGACACTTTTTGGTACGGTGTACGCTAATAACGTGATTAAGAAGATGGAAATACTGAATAATAGGGATAAACACAACACATCTAATTAGAGTGTTCTAACATGCATTTTAGTTGTGTTGTAATGTCATCATTCCAATATATAGCTATCAGTTATCTCTTGTTTTTCTTATCTAAAGGGATATTAATATCTAAATTTCCAAATGGTTCCCCGGATCTTTTAATCCTTCTAATACTTTTTATAGGGGCAGAACTTCTAAAAGTAATGTTAGCATAGTTTTGACTAAATTCCTGGGAATTAAAAGAACAATAAGCTCCTCTACATTGTCTCATCTTACCAAAAAATTTTTCCAATGGGTCTTGATTAAACTTGGTAGCTACAACATAATTCACATTAGGAATGGAGTCTAACAAATARTTAACTACCTCGACAAAAGACTTAATACATATCTGTAAACCTTCCCAAGTTTGATCACTGATAAAATACTGCTTTCTTTCTTTAACTGGAATGTCATTCTGACCCATAGCCCATTCCTTCCAGTCCTGAAAATACTTCAAAAAGTCATTCTCTAACCAAACTAGCCTATTATCTTATTCATACGTAGTTTGTTTAATCAACCATGAATTATTTAAACTTCTAGCCTATTATCATTTGATGATCTATACACACTTTTAAATTCATATTGAGTATAAACTTTGTTTGCATTCAAACAATCAAAAAAATTGTTCATATGCTTAATAAACTGCACTGTTTCTTGAGTTCCTGGTTTATCCTGTACAGTCATGGCATAGGCTACTCTATTACTAAATACCTGAGCAGCTAGATAGACCCTCATTCTAAGATAGGGATTTAAAAACAAATGATCAGCTTTTAGTTTTGGCATCATCCTTAACCCTGATGCATTTGACTGATCAATATCATTRTCAAATGCATCAATGAGCTGCAACCATGAGATCCACATACCATTGTTACGAAGCTTCTTAGTCTTATTCCTCCAAAAACTATTTTCCCAATTGTTCCTAGTTGTTTTTAGGAGATGGACAGGGTCACATATGAAARATAAATACCTTTCCTCTGGGGAGTAAGGATTTAAGGTTCTATAAATAAGGGTACCCTTTGGTGTACCTGGTGGTGCATGGAATTTGTAAAACTTGCYATGTGGTGAAGCACCATCACACGTACTAGTTAAAACATTAAAATCCCTTAATTCTAACTCCTCAACACATTTCCAAAACACATTAAACAAAGCAAATGACTTAATGGTTGTTGTGGGYAAAAAACCTACAGGCATCTTAAAGTCTGAAAAAAGACTAACAACCATAAAAACAAACATGTGTGTAGCCTCCTCAGGAGKTGAATTAGGCTTTTCTGTTGAAGATAATGACAACTCTAATTCATCAATKGCATTTTGAACTGATCCTAAGTCTACAAATCCTACGAGCTTACCAGCATCGTCAAACACAAGCTCCTGTCTTAATGAAACCTCATCATGTATTATACCCACCCAATTATCATAAGTATGGGGATTTGATCTACGATCAAAATCTTTCTTAATTCTATCTAAATAAGGTGAATTGAAACCAAGTGATGACTTGAAGACAGCAGTATAATCCCTTAGGGTTCTCTCATTAGGTAGAATGAGAATTCCACTATCTTTCAACATTTGGTATGCTTGGGGTGACTTTGAGTGTAGCTCAAAACACCACCTAAAATACAAAGGGAGTAAGATGAGAGTTGTTGACTCATAAAACATTACYTCAACAAGTYTTGCAGTTCAACAAACCACAACAAGATATTAATTGATTGTGATGCCAATTGATGGAATTTTATGCACACCATATAAGTAGATAGAGTACAAACACTAAAACTGTGCAACATAAATACCACTAAATACTGCTAAATTATGCAAATCTATTGTTTTCTATTGTTTAATTAAAACTATTTTGCAGTAAATAGTGGAAAGTGTTGTACACATTTATTGTTTGTACTTAACTAATGCACTATGTTATTTGATAATATATCTTAATTCACCTGATAACTAATGGATGCCACCTTCTTGCTCGTTTGTCAGAACACTTAAGAATCTTCTGTTGCTCTTCAAAGAAGAGGGTCTTAAACTCAGATCTGTTGTCCTGACTTGGCAGATTGTTGAACAATGCCTCCACAAGATTATTATCATCTTCTTGCAAAGTTATTAAATTCTGCAA